AAGTACGATGCTATATTGGAAAAAAAAATGAAAAAATAAAAAGTTTGTGTATTTGTATGCAACTTGAAAAATAAAATGCTATTTTGATATGTTGGTAATAGTTTAATATGTTGGAATTTTTCATTTTGGTAGTTTTTGGAAAGTACGATGTTATTATGATATTTTGGTGATATATTTCGCTTTTTTTTTTGTAGTTGGAAATGCTGCAAACAATACTAAAGGACCTGGCTTGTTCTACGACATTGGAAGACTGGTTTCGCTTATTGTTGCCACGAAATGATAACGAAGGAAACAATGAGAGTGATGATCACAAATAGATACTTTGTTAGGATTTTATGAAATGTTTTGTTTGAGTTAATATTTTGGATATATTGCATTTTTTTAGATGAATATTTGGACCGGTTGTGTATTGGCTAATATTTTGGATTAATATTTCTGCAAAATTAAGTTTTCTAGCAGCTTGTATGCATTTTATAATAGTTATTATAATTTTAATGTTACACTAAAAAAAAAGGAAAATGTTTAAGCGGCGATGCCTTTAGCAACGATACTTGTGTATTAGTGACAATAGAGTATTAGCGGCGGCAATGCATTAGTGGCGACAGCTAGTATTTGCGGCGATAATTTGAGCAATTGTGACAAGGCAACAACAACGATCCTTTTGCGGCAACGTGTCGCCGCAAATAGCTTTAGCGGTGACGACCTTACTCTTTAGCGGCGACAACCTTTGTCGCAGCTAATGCTCTCATTTCTAGTAATGATAGTATTAAAGTGGTATTTGTTTTTCTATGAATAACGGTCCCAAAAACATTTCAATATTTTTTCATACTAAGGTATCAGTTTGAGCATGGCACCTTCCAACATTACAATATATATATATATATATATATATATATATATATATATATATATATATATATATATATATATATATATATATATTTCAAATAAAAACATTAAATAAAATAAAAACATGAGAACACTATGTTTACGTAATAATTCTATTATGAATTTTATATAAGTGTAGTATTATACTTCTTCTCTCCCAAATTAGTTGTCCAGTTTTGACTTTTGAATTTTTCTTTCTTCAAATTAGATCATAAATATTTTTATTTGTGGTATATATTAATTGATAAAACTTATAATAATAAAAAGACATTTAAAATACAATCCATTCACATATTTTTCATCAAGTATTATCTATAAAAAGAAAAATATTTAAGGGCAAAGTTGAATAATGAAGACTTGAAAAGTTAATTGCGGACAATTAATTTGGGATTAAGGTAGTAGTGAATTATAATATGAATATTAACGTATGAATTATATATATGCATTAGTGAATAATAACATAAAGTTGTAGATAAAAATTTCATAGCATAACAATAACTTAAAAGTAGTGATCTCATTTTCTTATTTTATTGAATGTTTTTATTTGAACCATCATCATCATCATCATCATCATCATCATCTCTCTCTCTCTCTCTCTCTCTATACTTCCACTCCTCATCGGAAAACATATTAAAACTCATCTTTTCCACCTTTGTCGACCCACTAAATCTTTTGATTTTTTTTAATACAAACTAGGTCATTAATCATAAAATTAATACAAAATGAAATAAAAGATTAATTACGTTTGATATTAATCTTAAATTAAAAAAATTATCAAAAAATATGATATATATATATATATATATATATATATATATATATATATATATATATATATGAATGATAATTTGAGAACTCATAGTTTCATAAGAACCCGAAAAATAAAGGTGGAGCGTTGGATCAAAAAATTTAACGACCTAGATCAAAGATGACATATTTGTAATGATGTCCACCTGATGGACTTACAGGTTTGACTGTATTTGTTTTTTAGCTTGTATTCGCTTTGTGCAATGATGTCCACCTGATGGACTTACAGGTTTGACTGTTCCACCATTAGTCTATCCTTAATCCTTGTAAGTGAGGTAATTTTTTTTTTCTAAAACAAGATATGGTTATTATAATTGCAGAAAAACTATGGAGTGGGCTTGAACATTTTGGATTTAATTGGTTGATCAATGCTGATAGGTAAGGGCAAGTTATCTTTAGAAACTTAAAGTTATCAAGTTGATGTGCTTATTGATTTCAAGTGGCATAATTGGAATTATGTAATGTGGTGTTGTGTTTATTTGATAAATTTGCTCATTACACGGTTGTAAGTTAGGTTGAATATCCTTCGTTGGCTGATTTGAAGGGGCTCCTTTTAGACATAATTGCACAACTTATGGGTGCTCTATCACAAATCAGGTGATTAGTAAATTTGGTCAATTTTTTTCTTACTATGTTTTATTTATGCCTAAGACTGAAGTGCATTTTAGAAGGAAGCAATGCGTGTTTGTTTATTTGTTTATTCAACATTAGTTTGTGCAACTAAAATTCGCCTCTAATCACTATGTTCTCTTTTTCTTTTCAGGGTAGCTGGAAAGGTTTGCAAGTTAGTTGGATGTGGTACTGTTGTACCTATTCTTGAAGTTTCTAATGATGATCTTTCTAACATTGTCGACACAAATGATGAATAGATATATGTTCGAACTGGAATCTGTAATCGTCGAGTTCTTACAAGTTGGTTTGACTTAATGCATAGAATAACTTAATATGAAACTTGAGGCGAATGAGTCTTTCCCAATTCCCATTAAGTCCCTAACTTTTTAGAAATTTGTCCTCATCTTGGCCACACAATAACAAGATTGTCTTCATGTTCAGCCATATGAGAGAGATTGAAAGAGAACATTGTATAATGAGTTCAACACTTTAATCTGGACAACTATGGTTGCTTCTTTTTTTACTTAGCTAAATTTATAAAAAGTTCAACGTTGTAGTTACTTGTGATTCACATGTAAATCACATATGAATTACATATGATTCACATGCAATTCACATATGAATTGCATGGGATTTACATGTAAATCACATGTAATTCACATATGAATTACATGTGATTCACATGTAAATCACATATAAATTGCATGCGATTCACATGTAAATCACATATGAATTGCATGTGATTCACATGTAAATCATATGTAATTCATATATGAATTATATCTGATTCACATATACTTCACATATGAATTACATGTGAATCACATGTAATTCACATATGAATTGTAATTTATATATGAATTACATGTGATTCAAATGTAAATCACATATAAATTACATGTGATTCACATGTAATTTACATATTAATTACATGTGATTCACATGTAAATCACATATGTATTTTTCTGAGTGTTTTTGCATCAATCAATTTCTTTTTAAATTTCTTGTAGACTTGGAAGAAATTGTGGTGAATATTGAAGAGGTGGAAAATGATAAATTGAAGAAAATATCGAAATATTGATACGGAGACATGAAAACACTTTGAAATTTTGTAGCATTTTTTTTGTTTTTTTTTTTATATTTTATTTTGTATCGAATAAAATACTTATTATATTATTTTTATAGATTAGTAAATAAAATAAATTTTCTTATAATTTCCTTACAAATATGTATATGAAATATGCATTTGTAAAAACATGTATAAATGTACCTAAAATGTTGATTTTTTTGGTTAAAAAGTTATAGTATTTATTAAATATTCCAACTTTTTTTTATAAATTTTATTGATTTTTAATTGCTTTTAAAAAAATTGGAGTTTTAAAAAAAATATTTTTTTTCAAATTAAAAAAAAAAAAATCATGTTTTCTATAAAAAAATTAAAAAATCTATACTTTTTTTAAAAAAATTGAAAAAAATGCTATTTTAAAAAAAATTAGATAATTTGATTTATTATATAATTTTTTAGACATTTCTATTTTATTTACAATAACAAAAAAAAAAAATAAAAAAAATTAACCATTAAATGATATTGACAAAATTACGATCATTTCCTTAATAAATTAGTTCTGATCTAACGCTCAACTTTTACTTTTTGGGTTTTCGGAAAACTATAATTTCTCAACCGATCTCATCCCTATATATGTGAGCATCTGAGAAACAAAAGTTACACGAGAATTATGAGAAATAAACTATTTGATTTTTATTTGGCGAATGGCATTTGATGTTATAAAACTAATATTTGTTTGAAAAGCCGACCGAAAAGCGCCTTGATCATTCGTTTATTTAGTGAATGAACTTTAGTAAACAATCCCAAAAAAAAAAATCTTACAAAATATTTTTATGGAAGATTTTTTTATGAATTATCTTATTTTTGTATTATCTAATGTTTCAAAATCATTTTTGTTCTTAAAAAAATGCATTTGATTCATTTTTTCATTTAATTTTGGTTTCTCAATGGATCCAAAGCTTATATATAACTAAATTAAAATTAATCTAAATATAAAACAAAAAATAAATAAATATAAATAAACTTAAAAACAAACCTATAATGAAACTTTAATTATCATTTATGTCATCAATCTATATTGAGCCTTTTTGGATGTATTTTGTCAACAATGTAACAACCTACCTCCTTTTTATCTCTCTTCATAACATATTATATATATATATATATATATATATATATATATATATATATATATATATATATATATATATATATATATATATATATATATATATTTATAGAATTACTTTATCTTCAATAACATTATAGGATAGGGATTAAATTTAATAGTGTAAACTCTCTCACCCCTTTACCATTTGTCTCAATCCGTCCCTGGGACGCATAGACAGTCGCCAATTGTAATTTGTTATGATAAAATAAAAATGTAAAACACATTGAACGAGGTAAAACAACATATCATTAGGGGCCATGCAACGTTTGGTGGTTTTATGCTTTAATGGCTAAATGATTTCGAAGTTATCGATCATTATTACTACTAGCTAGAAACCGGGGACGTCCTCTCTTTCATTTTCCACAAAATACGCAAAGCGGCATGACCATTTTGACGAGCAACCAGCTATAGCTTAGCTCATACCAAAGGCCAGTGTTAATCATCAGCTATAAGTTTCTCATATAAACACTCTCTTCCTTCCATTCCATACGCAGCATCTATCTAAGCATCAAAATGGAGAAATCACTAGAGACAGAGCATCCCATCAAGGCCTACGGATACGCTGCCAAAGACACCTCTGGAACCTTCTCACCCCTCACCTTCTCCAGAAGGTACACATCTCACAGACCTGTTACTCGTGTTGCGATTTTAATTTGAGGATTGAGAAAACAAGTATACTTATAAAGTTATAATATTAGTCTTATCTTGTATCAACTAAATATGATGGTTGATCCTTTGACTATTTCTTTGCATATATCATTCTCAGTTTTTCTGTTGATCATGATTATGATTAATGAATTTGTAACAGAGCTACAGGGGATAACGACGTTAGATTCAAAGTTTTGTATTGTGGAATCTGCCATTCGGATCTTCATTATGCTAAGAACGAATGGCTTGCGTCTACTTATCCACTAATTCCAGGGTACGTACAACTTGAATCGATATTATCTCTCTCTGTTCGTATTACTTGAATCCATTGTTCGCTTTATCTATGACAAACACTAACACACACTGATTTTGACACAAAAATGAAGGCATGAGATTGTGGGTGTCGTCACCGAAGTAGGAAGCAAAGTAGAGAAATTCAAAGTTGGTGAAACAGTTGGCGTTGGATGCTTGGTGGGATCATGCAGATCATGTCAAAACTGTTCTAACAATCTTGAACAACACTGCCCCAAGATGATCATGACCTATGCTTCGACTAACTTCGATGGCACACTCACATATGGTGGCTACTCTGACCACATGGTTTCCGATGAGCATTTTGTGTTGCATTGGCCAGACAATTTGCCACTTGATTCCGGTGCTCCATTGCTATGTGCTGGGATCACAACTTACAGCCCCCTCAGACACTACGGACTTGACAAGCCTGGTATGAAGATCGGCATCGTTGGTTTGGGTGGGCTCGGTCATGTTGCAGTAAAGTTCGCAAAAGCATTTGGTGCTGAAGTTACAGTTTTCAGTACCACACCGGAAAAGAAGCAGGAAGCACTCGAAGTACTTAAAGCTGATCATTTCATTGTTAGCAAAGACGTGGAGCAAATGAAGGTGATGATAAATGACCAGTTGACCACTTTCTTTTATATTTGGAGCAAATTATTTGCTTAATTAACTTTGGTTTGTTGATTACGCGTTGTAGGCTGCTACTGGAACACTTGATGGTATCCTAGATACCGTTTCTGCACCTCATCCAATTGCTCCGTTTATTGATATCCTCAAAACGGCTGGGAAGCTTGTTCTTGTTGGTGTGCCGGAGAAACCACATGAGTTGCCAGCATTTCCTTTGATCTTAGGTAATTACTCGTTTTGAAAATGGTTGTTTAGATGTTTGAGTTCAAGAGTAATGGGATAAAATTTTGTAGGGAGGAAGATTGTTGGTGGTACTAGCATTGGAGGACTGAGGGAGACTCAAGAAATGCTTGTTTTTTGTGCCATGCATGGAATAACATCGGATGTAGAAGTTATCCCGATAGATTATGTGAACACCGCCATGGATCGTCTCTTAAAATCTGATGTTAGGTATCGGTTTGTGATCGACGTTGCAAATTCAATCAAGGCTCCACTTCAAACATGAGATGTAGAATCTGAAGTTGATGAAGGTTTCAGCTAAACTTGGTTGTATTTAAAGACTTGTTCAATATTATGATAATAGTTGTAACTTGTAACAGAATAACCAAAATGATCAAAACCATCAGGATTTTATTTAATAAAATTGTGATAAAATGGTGTTGTAACACAACTTTATGAATAATATCAGGGAGATAATTACATCATATGTGGCTGACACGATGCAGTTAATTAAAAGAGTGTTAATGATCGTGTGGTTGATAATGGCCATGCTTGGAAAGTTGCGTTGGTCAGTCGAGTTTTCTTCATGACATTATTATAAATGAACAGATCGCTCTCCTTAGAGTATTATTTATTTTGGAAGGCCTCGATCAATACATTGCGACTAATTGGTTTCTGATTAGCGGAAGATCCAACCCGGAAATCAAATCGGGTGCCTAGTTGACTGTTGACTATCATTGATTTTTTACCGTTGATCTTGGATCCAATGGACAACCAAAATGTAACCACCCAAAAATTCTATATTATGAAAATATATATTTGGTATAGATATGGCTAAGAGTGAACTTAAGTTATGAAACAATGATGTTTGGTAATGCAATACATATGTTTGTATACTTATGGCATTGCACCGGAAGGTATATCATGTTTAATGAATGATTAGTTAACGAAAGTCATAATTCACTATGAAACGATTTTGTAGATATAAAGTTTGTCAAAAACGGAGATCATGTGAGAAATTTATGGCCGTTCGAAAAGTACACTGCAATTCAGAAAAAGTCAGCAGAAAGTCAGAAAGCGGGAAGCCGCCCTCTTAAAAAGTGCGGCGCACTTCTGTTGAGTCATGAAAAACATGTGTCGATCAAGTAGGACTCGTGGTGAACATAGAGGAACATGTGGCTGTTCCAGAAGTGCCACCTAATATAGAACGCAATTAATGTGCCCTACAGAAGGCGTGTCGTGCGCACCAACCAGTAGTCTATAAATAGCGATCGTTTCTTGTTCATTGCACGTTTGGTCTGATGAATGTTCTGAGCTTTAATGCAATGCTGTATAGCTTCAAAATGGCATTTTTAACATCGTTACATAGGTATCAAAGTCGGGGTCGGTGAGTGGTGGTTGACTTACAGACGAAGTGCGGGAGTTTGTTTGTCAAGATTATGATTTCCGTAGGGCTAATGTATTCTCTCGATTGTTAATGTGTAATTTTATTTACATAACTATTGAGTCGTGACAAGTTGATAAACCCAATGTAGTATGTGAAATCGTAACACGACTTTGTTACAAGCAGACCGACAAGAAATGGATAAAGGGGTTTCTATAGTGGAACTCTCGAGTGGATAATATGGGTTGTTAACCCAAGTTTACAAGATTGTCCAATTGGTTTACGAAGTTAAGCAGTTTGATAATAGTATTGCGGAGCTTAGTGATTTAGTAAAAAATGGTTACCTTATTAGGTTAGTGATCATGCAAACTTCACCATAATAGATATGGTAAACAAGCTCCTAAGTGTATTAGGACAAGTTTTGAGGAACTTGATAGTTGTCTATATAGGTGGAACAGTATTGAGCTAAAAGATAGCATGAGGCTAAAAGTTGGATTGGAAGTTAGTCCTCACTAACCGGCCAAGTGAATACATGTGGATTTTAACCATTTTGGGGTACATGACATAATAGTAATGAATTTGTGAAATATTTTAAGATGATTATTGTTGAAAATATAATAAGCCCTAGCTAGCAAGTAAATGAACTCTTTCCTAAAGAGTTTGTTGTTCTTGAACAATGGAGCTCTCTTCTGAGCAATGGTTAGCTAGCTACGATTTATTACATGGACTATTGAAAATGATTAAAGAACTGTGTTTTTCAGCTACAATATGATTGAATGTATTACTATGCAACATTATTATTGAATGTACATAAGCATGGCATCAATCATGTGGGTATGATTGAATTACTAAAGGAATAGTAACGATCATGTATCATATGAGCGAATTGCATAGTCTTGAATCATTTTCGGTTAGAGTTAAGTGCCTTTATGGGTAGCGACAAGGGCCATAATATGTATAACTGTAATTATTTGAACGAAGCCATATTATGGATAGTCGTAGTATTTTAACAGAGTCATAATAACTTATTGAGAGGACCATAGTATGGATAGCTATAGCTTATTGATGGGACCATTTATGTGACTAGCCCGATTTCGGGCAAAGTTACTTGACGGGGCCATTTACTGGTTGTCGTAATTGCATTGAGTGAGGACATGCATAACATGCTTTGCATTTAGTTTATAAATGCATGTCAAATTATAGTCTTATCAAATGATTTTGATACTGATTTTGCATCTAAACCCATGTAGCTCACAAGACAATTTTTGTCTTACATATGTTGTTTGAAATGTCATGTATTCCAAGATTCAGTCTAGACGATTAGTTGAGACAGATAACAAAGAGCCAATGGATAGAAATTGGACATAACTTCCGTGATGTAAGCAAACTTTCATCTTTACTATGGTTTATTTGTATCGATTGAAATAACTGAAAGAATGTTTTAACAAACGTATTTGTAAATGTAACGCTTGTGTTTCTGGGCTTGTCATTAATATTTATATAATAGTCTAGGTTAACCTTTGTAACCCATTTTGAAATAATAGAAGTGAATTATTTGAGTATTATATGTTTTGTGCTTAACTATGTTATTTAATTGAATTAAGAATAAAAATAAGCGTCAAAATGAAATGTTACATAAGCTTGATATCTACGGATAATGTTGTAGTAGTTGAAATGAGGTTTCCGAATATCTAAAGAATGCCGAAATCCGAGTTATAACGAATAAGTTATGATCTGTCGAAGTTCGCGATAGAACCGGCACGATGCTGAATGACGTAAAATACGAATTTATCATAGAGCGAGATTTAGCCTTAGCGATCTAAACAAAATTCATAGAGTTCATTAAACCGAGAGTGTGCATAAAAAGAATGCCCAAATCTGACTTCGTATGAGGAAGTTATGATTTTATGAAGTTTCAGCTTACGAGTATGCAGCCCGAATACTTGATTCGAGATCGAGTGATTGTTAGTTGAAACAATCTAAACGAGAATCGAAGATCTCGTTGATAGTAGTGCATTGGTGAAAATAAAGACGAAAAAGGACGTCAGATGAAGAAGTTATGAATTTATAACGGAGTTTTCCTATCCCAGCCTACTAAAAATAAATAATAACCATAAAAGTCAAAATTAGCCGACGGAGTCTAAACAAAAGTTGTAGAGCATAGTCTCACCTACATGTGGATATAAAGAATATCGAAAACGGTGTTCGTATGAAGAAGATATGAATTTCAGAAGTTTTTAAATGATTAATATTTATTTATTTAATCATTAATTCGGATAATATCCGAAGGAGTCATTGGTCTGATCCGAACTACGCCCATCGTAGTTGAGTACGCCCAGCGTACCCCGATGCATGCCCCGCCTCGGACTCGAGTGCTCCGATGACGCATGCAGTGACGTTTCCGAAGGCGTACGCCCCGCGTAGAGCATTACACCCAGTGTAATGCGAGGCCTCAGCCTCCTATAAAAGGCTTGCGAGGGCAGCCGAGATTTTTGCTCTTTTTCTCTTCTCCCTCTCTCTCTCTCTCTCCCGTTTTGCATGGTTTTACATGCTGGAAATATCCCGAAGCCCCGGTATTAATCCCGAGCCCCGAAGCAAGTCCCGATGTGACATCCCCAAAATCTCGGCCAGAAAAGACCGATTTCATTTATGCTTTTTAAAATAATTTTCAGAGTAAATCCTTTTAATTTTAAAAGAGATGCGAAATTTGTTCCCAAAAACAAAACATGATAAAATAGATATTTATCAAAACATTTCATTTCACAATCAAAAGTCGGGATGTCATGTTCCGATACAGATCATAAAGCATAAAAGATAGCATTACAAGTCATTCAACAAATATATACATATACAGACTTGTAAACAAAACAACTTGATGTTCGCCCATCTTAAGCTCTTGCGCCACTTCCTGTAAAATAAATCAACTGAGTGGGTCAGGCTTGGGAGCCTGGTGAACATATAGGGTTTTCAACCCACAATAATTATATTTAATTTCAACAATCAACAATAAACCCGATTACCCATTCCCGTTATCCTCACCTTACGTTCCTAAAAATAACGTCTATTATAAGGAACCTATTTCAGGATTTTTCATCGGGATGGACATTACTGTAGAGGGGCTTCCTCAACAATAAGTATCCTAAAGGCAACCATGTGGGGGATAGAGTACACCGGTGAACACGTCGTTCACAACACCTACAGGTAATGAGCCTGCTAGTGTTCCACAGGACAGTCTAGAATAGTCCGTGGTCGTCATCCATACTCTGCTGAATGACTAGAATAACACCAATAACACCGAGGCCTCTCATCTGTTTATTACACACCAATTACCTACCCATGTTGTACCCAACATATTAGTAGATAAAAATATACATTTTTATACATTGTTTAAAAACCTGTATAACATGCTTTAAGCAATACATATTCCACATAACAGATGAGTCATACACACATAACACATATTTCATAGAGAATACATCAGATCTATAAGATAGAAGAGAGTGAATATACACTCACACGTATAACAACCAAATATATACACATAACACGTATTTTTATAGGAAATACTTCATAATATTGCGTTGGAATGAAATAACTACACACTCACTTGATCAGAAGATGATCGGGCAGCACTACGGCTTGCAGAAGAGGTGTTTCTCCAGAGATCTGGAAGATCTTCACAAAACCGGGCTCCTCGCGGGCAGCGTTTCGGCTCGGGAATAACGCTCTTCGGGATCCTCGGGGCTTTGGATCTTGCTTCGGGGCTCGGGAATATTATCGGGGCTTCGGGGTATAAATGACACGCAAAACAAGGCAAAACTTAGAGAGAGGGAAGAGTTTGAACAAGAGAAAATGGCTGAATTCGAGTTCTATTTATAGGCTGCTGGGTCTGGGATTACGCG